CAGCCAAGCTACCACATCCAGCAACCCCCAAACAGATCCACAGCTGCAATCATTTCCATTAGCCGTTGCAATGGAAATATTTGGACTAAACATTGCTCTTCCACCTGCCAGCACCCAGCTAACATCACTGACCCTCCACCCGTAACATCACTGACCCTCCACCTGCCAACATCACTGCCCTCCACCTGCCAACACCCAGCCAGAGGAGCGCAAACAACAAAAACAAGCAAGGTGTCCCGTCATGTACCTGGAAGTTTGGGTTGGCAAAATGGAGTAAGAGAGGGACTTGAAAAACCTTGGTGGCTCTCTACTCATGTTGTTACAGTTGTCTTGGTTACAGCTCTCAAGTTTTTTTTTGTGCCATTTCCACATCTTTAGAAAATATGAAATAAAACATTGAAGTGAAATCAACCTCTTCTCTGGAGAACAAACTTTGATTTCTCTGTCTTGTGAGTTTGCAGTCTTGCAGTTTTGCTCCTCCACCTGTAACATCACTGCCCCTCCACCTGCCATACAGTAGGTTACTAACAAGATTACTTATATAATACAGTGATATAATACATGTTTAGTATGCTTACTTATATAAAACAGTATTATTAAACTTACCTTGTGTTTTCACTCTCACTTAAGTTCCTCTCCCTTTGCCATCAATCCAAAATCAGCTGAGCTGCAACATTATACACACAGGTAATAATCAACAGGACACAATATGGCTCCGCTAAAAACACTCACTCTTACACGCACCAAAGTTATATTTATCTAATATTTAACTCCCTCCACCCCCGCATACAATCCCGTTTAGAAGCCCCTCTTCTCTAATTCAACAACGTTGGACGAAATGACATTAAGAGAACGGAATTTACAATTAAAAGGCTGTTCAACGTCTGTTGCTAACTTGCTTCGGTATCCTAGCTTAATCTGTTATCTGTAAACGTTCCCTAAATCTACTAATTTAGGGATAATCCACTGACATCCTTTAATACACATGTTAATTTGAATCAGATGTACTGATAATATCCGCAATATAAATCTTTAAACTTCTTCTTACCTTTAAAAGTCGGCCACGAACGGTCTATTATGCTGCAACTCTACAGCTCTGCTAGCCTTGGCGCTAACTTCCGGGGAACGATTGAGAGGCTCCACGATCCGCCATTGCTGTAAAAAAGTGGTCCATTGGAGTGAACGGAGATGTCGTAACTCTTCTATTATATGGCTCTGCCCCGAACACATCGTGTACCGACACCGGCTCTACCCCACAGTTTGCCGCTTGATTCTGTTAGGGTGAGTGAAGCAGGCAGGACCCAAATGCAGAATAAACAGAAAAAAATACCTTTATTTCAAGGTTTTAAGGAACAAACACAACACTACCTCGTGAACACGGTCAACGACAAACAATGAACCAACAATGACAGACAGAAAAACCAGAACTTAAATACACACAAGACTAATCACACAAACAAGACGCAGGTGAGGAGGGAGGAGAAAACAAAGGGGCACCAGGTGAACACAATCGGGTAATCAGGTAGGAGGGAAAACAGACAGAAAGCAGGCAAGACAGGGGGTGAAGACTCTTTAAAATAAAACATGAAACCAAAGACAGAAAAAGACAAGACAAAACACAACACAGATCGATCGTGACACAGAAAAGCAACAGCAGCATTTTGTGTGTGTCCTCTAACTGCACTGTACATACAAACCCATTTCCCTCTCTTTTACAACACTTTTCTAGCTAACTCTCCAAACAGTGTACAGAGAAAGATGTGGCTCTTCATACACTCCATGCCATTACCGAGAGCACCTACCCTGCACTCACAGTATTTTTAGCCCTCTTCATTAGGGGGGGTAGATAACCCTCTAATCTAACCCTGTGTATCATCATAGCTCCCACAGCATAAGCAGGTGTCACCCACTGTTCACCCACACAGCTGTAACTGACATTATACTTTGTGAATTTACTCCCCGAACTGCTGTGTAAGTCATTTCCTGCCGGCGGGGCTCCACTTGGACTGTTGTTTTTCTGATGGAGCGTTGTTATCAGGGCTTCTGGGTCAGAGTGGTGTAGATGGATGTTAAGATCAGAATGTCATGTGACATAGGCTGAACTGATACGTGTGAACGATAACCCATGTGACCTGTCCACCCCCACTGCTTCCCTCCCATCATTTCACACTCACTGAAAGGCTCGCCCTTATATATCGCATTGTCTGTTTGTTTTTTTAAAACACCTTTTCGACCTTAAAGCTTACAGGGGTGTAATTTGGGGGTTTTAATGAATGAAAGTACTTTACCAAGTGAATGATTCATTGGTGTTTAAGATGAAAAATAAGCAGTTTAAATGTATTCGCTTCAGTATTGTGAAGAAAATGTATAGAGAAAATTATAACATTTATTATAGTAACATTTATATCCTCACAAAGTTAAGTACATTTAAATGTGTACTTGCAATAGAGTTGGATTTACAGCACTACAATACACTTGAAAATTAAGCCTTACATTTAAGCTTTTTTCTAACATTATATTTTTAAACTCCCACTGCCATTTTGATTACACTTTGCGTAATCCTTAAATATAACACATCACATTGTAAATGCTAACATGCTGATGTTAAGCATGTTTACTATGTTCATTGATTGTATTTAGTGAGTTTCACACTAACATTTTATTTGAACTGTGTGGGAACACAACATTTTTTACCAACATTTGTAACACTCCCTATATATTTATAGTTACAGTATATACTATATATATATATATATGCATGTGTGTATATGTTGAGATATTTCTCAGGATAAGTGAACACTTTGAACTGCTTGTAGCACTAAAGAAAGAGACAGAACAACACCATAACCATCAGGATTCATCCTCCTGGAACTATACATATCTGTACTGAAATGTATTGCAAGTCATTCAATGCTGCTTGATATATTAAGATAAGATAAGATAGGTGGGCCGTCATTGATCCCCATGAGGAAATTCAGGTGTTACAGTAGCAACAGAATAAGAGAGAAATGCAGGACATTACAGAAGATAATTCACACTGGGATAATACGAATAAGCAAACCTGTTGTAGTCTGGACTAAAGTGGTAGACCATCTGACATTGCCATCTGTAGCTTGCATGCCTAAACATTTTGTTGAGGTTTTATGCATACCCATGGATGGCTAGAAATCTACACATTAGCTGCAAACAAACATCCTCATTAGGGAAAGAGAAATTAGCTTGCTGAACTCCCAAAATGTAGTTTAGTTTAGTTTAGTTTATTTATTTATAGTGTCGTGGACAGTCCCCATCGATGAACTGTCACAAAAACAGTAAATGGCTAATTTCCAGCTGTTGTCCCCGGCCAGATGGTAATAGACACCCTTAAAATTACAATATATCAACAGCATTAGTTATAAGAAAATATATAAAATAAAAAGGAGGAAAGAGGATAAAAGAGAACAATAAACAACACACGTTACTATATACAGTACATGTCACATATAGCACATCACAATCACATCACAGAAATGAGCCAGAGTGTGATAATTCCTGCTCTTCTTCCAAAGATCAAGACGTGCATGATCTTTGGAAGAAGCGTTAAAGGGGCAAGGCACCAGAGCTTTTGTTCTGGCCCTATTCTTCTGATAGTTCCTCTGATGCTGGTTGCATAAACGCAGATTGTATAAAGGTCACTTTGCATGCATAAAAACTCCCACTTCCAGTTAGAAACAAAATAGACACAGCCACAAAAGGATTTTGATTCATTGAAATGCTCTCAAACAGACACACACGGTCACATGAAGCGTTATGTCCTAATGGTTTCTGATGTTCTCAGTAATGAGCTACAGAAAAAAGGCAGCTCCAGATAAATGAGCGAGTTGATGAGAATGTGTGTCGGCTACCTATAGAGTTATGTAATATGGTCAAGGAGAAGAACTCTGATTGAAAACAAATTCAGAGTTGTTGAAGGAATGAACCTGCATCAATGTGTTTGCTTATGACACATGAAGGGAAATGCAGCAATGTGTAGGATTCTCATCGAAATCCTCCCTCTCAAGTATTTAATCCGACTTATCCTACAACTGACAGGTGATTGCATCACTCCTGTGGTTTAGTAAGGTCATTTAAAGGAGGTGACTGCAATCATGGAGCATCCCTCCCAAACACGGGCCATGTAGAGTGGGAAAAGAGGCAGTACCTCAGGGGACGAATAAGAGTGATGGCTCAATGAAGACTGTCTAATTGAGCTGCTACAATGAGAGATGTTCAGAAGAGGTTTAACTGACATTGTTTGATGAGCTTATGGCAAGACATTTGAGTATTTATTCCATATCCTTGATATCAGAGATGGCAGCTGCCTACACTAGTTGGTTCTTTGATTTCACTTGATTGATAAATATGGTCACACTAGTTTGGCACTCTGCTTTACTAGTTCAATAAAACATTGTACTAGTCACTCTTTTTAAGCAACTAGTGGCACTTTTGTCCGACTAGTTACCACATAAGCCTTACTAGTGACGCCAGGAGCAGCACTATAGCACCAAAGTACCAACATGTAAGCTTTTTGATGAACAAGTGGCCCTCTGACCGTACTAGTGACACTTATGGCAAGCCATTTAAGTATTTATTCCATATCCTTGATATCAGACGGCTATGGGATGGCATGTACAACAAGAAGAAGTTATTTTGGATAAAAAACAACAAGTAGAACTCCAAAAATGAATGAGAGGAAGCATTGGTTATATTGTTTATCTAAATAAAGCACTTTGACAAATGGAATCCATTTAGGGAGAGTAAGAAATGGGTTGGATAACACATCTTGTTTTGTGTGCGCTTTGGCAAAGGCATACGCACAGAGAAAGAAAGAGAGAGAGATATATAAAGAGAGAGAGATATATAAAGAGAGAGAGAGAGAGAGAGAGAGAGAGAGAGAGAGAGAGAGAGAGAGAGAGAGAGAGAGAGAGAGTGAATGAGAGAGGGAGGGAGATGGACCTCCTCCGGGCGTCTCGTTACTAATTTGTCATCCAGTTTTCTTGCGCACCGGCTTTGGATACCTCTGACTTCTCCATGTGCCAGATTCTTGCCTGAAACCTTAACATGGATCTACTTCCCTACTATGCTTTTGGTGGTTTTAACGACTCAGTCTCCATAACTCCTTTCAATTTGACGGTAACAGAGGATCCTCTGCGCGTTCACTCGTACAGCAACGAGACCAACAGCAGGGCTGCAGTCATTGCCGTCTGTATCACGGCTCTCTACTCTGTCATCTGCGTGGTAGGACTGCTGGGAAACGTGCTAGTGATGTACGGGGTGGTCAGGTAAGAAATAAATGATTGAACAAAGAGCCAGAAACTATTTAGTAAAACACACAAAAAACCTTCAAGGGGGAGAGGAAATAATGGGGTATTCGTGATTTAGTGGAAGATTACAGCTCTAACCCACACACACACACACACACACACACCACACACACACACACACACACACACACACACACACACACACACACACACACACACACACACACACACACACACACACACACACACACACACACACACACACACACACACACACACACACACACACACACACACACACACACACACACACACACACACACACACACACACACACACACACACACACACACACACACAGAGAGACTCTGACTCCTACACTAAATAGGGAGGGGGGTTGAGGGGTGAGCTACAGTTTTGCGTTGAAATTACTTGATTGTACAAATGACTCCTGTCAGGATTGATAAGCAGGTAGTTAATCGCCATGGAAATTAGGCTGCATGTTGAACCCTGACCTGCACAGCGACGACTGCGGCACTGATTCATGTTCTCAAGATTCCCAGGATTCATGTCATGTTGATTTGTTGCTGAACTAATGCAGCTTAAATGAGATTGCAATGGAGTGATGGTCCGACCTCCACTGTCAATCAATCATCTCACTTAACTGCTCACTGTGTTAAAATATATGAGTTTCTGTACCGTTTTACAATTCAGAATAATGAGAGAAACAGAGAATACAAACAACATCCGGCCCACTCTCTCCTTGGTAAAGCAATTACCTTCAGCCTGTATGCTGTGATAAATCTCTTTACATGGGAGAGTAAGATAAAAGGGAAGACATGTCTTTGTCTTCCCTCATCCTCAGAGCTTGTTGCTCCATTTAATTAAATATGACCAACTACTGTCATATTGTGGACTCATGTGGATGAATTAATATTTAATTGGCCACTGGTTAAAGAAAAGAAACACACTATACACACTTTGAATCTGAAAATTAAAACTGAAGATTTCTCAGCAGGCAAGGACTCATTGTGCATTTTAATGGAGGCTAACAGACACTTTGGATCTCATGCATTTAGGGTTGTTCCCTGTAAAACATTAAGCATCTTTATTTGTTATTTGAGTGGAAATAGGAGATCATTGGTTTGAGAGAGGAAATGGATTAGACCAAAACAAAACATAAACTGGTTTCAAACCTTGATGGAAGTCGTGAGTCATCCAGAAACAGCAGCAGACAAACCTTGGAAAAAAATAATACAATCTCCTCCATCTAACAACATTTCCCGTGGACTCTGCGTCAGAATCAGTAACACGTACCACATGCTTCTTTCAACCATCCAGGTATATCAAGATGAAGACCGCCACCAACATCTACATCTTCAACTTGGCTCTCGCCGACGCCCTCGCCACCAGTACCCTCCCCTTCCAGAGCGCCAAGTACCTGATGGGCACGTGGCCCTTTGGGGAGGTGTTGTGTAAAGTGGTGATCGCCATCGACTACTACAACATGTTCACCAGCATCTTCACGCTCACCATGATGAGCGTGGACCGCTACATCGCCGTCTGTCATCCCGTGAGGGCCCTGGACTTCCGCACGCCTGCCAAAGCCAAGCTCATCAACGTCTGCATCTGGATCCTCTCCTCTGCCGTTGGAGTGCCTGTGATGGTCATGGCTGTTATCAGGATGAAACCTGAAGGTGAAAGATTTTTTACTCATTAAGAAGAACATTTCCACATTTAGTCAAATTACTTTGGCCACAGCTGGGCTGAGGAAACAGCTGTAAACCTTTTCAAACACCTATTTACACATCCAGCTGTTACAGTACAACATTATGATTCACTTTAAAGGTCACCTTTTGTGCATGTATTTTATATTATTATTATGTTAAGGGATTCTGAAAGTTTCAAGAAAAAAGATTCGCTCTCTTTTTGTCCTGATCCATATGCCCCTTTCACACATTACATTGCATTTAGCTGACGCTTTTATCCAAAGCGACTTACAATAAGTACATTCGACCAGGAAGACACAACCTTGAAGAACACAGAATCATATAAGTACATCAGGTTTCATAGAGCCAAAACATTTCAAGTGCTACTCAACTGGCTTTAGATAAGCCAGTCCTTTATTAGTATATAAGTGCTTTGTTAATAGTTATATCGCTCGAAGTGGAGTCGAAAGAGATGAGTTTTCAGTCTGCGCCGGAAGATGTGCAAGCTATCTGCTGTGGGGAGCTCATTCCACCATCTTGGAGCCAGGATAGCAAACCCACGTGTTTTTGCTGATGGAAACTTGGGTCCCCCTCGCAGCGAGGGCGCAGCGAGTCGTTTGGCTGATGCAGAGCGTAGTGCACGCGCTGGGGTGTACGGTTTAACCATGTCCTGGATGTACGAAGGGCCAGATCCATTCGCGGTAAGCAAGTACCAGTGTCTTGAAGTGGATTCTAGCAGTTACCGGAAGCCAGTGAAGGGAGCGGAGGAGCGGAGTGGTGTGGGAGAATTTAGGAAGGTTGAAGACCAGACGAGCCGCTGCATTCTGGATGAGCTGCAGAGGTCGGATGACACATGCAGGTAGACCAGCCAGGAGGGAGTTGCAGTAGTATAGGCGTGAGATGACGAGAGCCTGGACCAGAACCTGCGTCGCTTTCTGTGTCAGCTGGGGACGTATCTTCCTGATGTTGTAAAGCGTGTATCTGCAGCAACGGGTTGTGGCAGCTATGTTTGCAGTGAAGGACAGGTTGTTATCTAGGGTCACACCCAGATTCCTTGCAGTCTGAGTCGGGGAAACAACAGAGGTGCCGATGTTGATTGTTAGGTCAAGAGTGGGACAATCTTTTCCCGGAAGGAAGAGCAGCTCAGTCTTGTCAAGGTTTAGCTTGAGGTGATGAGCAGACATCCACTGAGAGATGTCAGCTAGACAAGCAGAGATGCGTGCGACGACCTGGGTCTCTGAGCTGGGAAAGGACAGAATTAATTGGGTGTCGTCAGCGTAGCAGTGGTATGAAAAACCATGCGGGCTAATGACTGATCCGAGTGAGTTTGTGTACAGGGAGAAGAGGAGGGGACCAAGAACAGAGCCCTGAGGGACCCCTGTAGTTAATTGACAAGGGTGGGACTCAGACCCTCTCCAAGTCACCCTGTAGGTACGGTCTTTCAGGTATGAGGTGAGGAGGGAAAGCGCAGAGCCTGAAACTCCAAGTTTTTGGAGAGTGCGAAGGAGGATCTGATGATTCACTGTGTCGAATGCAGCAGACAGGTCCAACAGGATGATGACAGAGGAGAAGGATGCAGTTTTGGCAGTGTGCAGTTCCTCCGTGACAGCAATGAGAGCAGTTTCTGTGGAGTGACCTGCCTTGAAACCAGACTGGTGCGGATCCAGAAGGTTATTCTGATGGAGATAACAGGAGAGTTGTTTAAAGACAGCGCGTTCAAGTGATTTAGACAGGAACGGGAGGAGAGAGACAGGCCTGTAGTTTATAACATCAGACGGGTTGAGAGTAGGTTTCTTTAGGAGAGGGTTTACTCTTGCCTCCTTGAGACTGTTTGGAAAGTGACCAGAAGTTAGAGAAGTGTTGATGAAATGGGTGAGAAACGGTAGAATATCAGGAGCGATAGTCTGAAGGAGGTTTGAAGGGATAGGGTCCAGAGGACAGGTGGTAGGGCGGGCAGAGGTAATGAGGGTAAGAACCTCACTTGGAGAGAGAGGGGAAAAGGAGGTTAGTGTGTTGGTGGAAGGAGGGTCTGGTGACCCAGCGGTGAGTAAAGGTGAGTCAGAAAAAGAAGAGCGAATATCATCAACCTTTTTTTCAAAGTGGGTAACAAAGTCGCTTGACAGAAGTGAAGAGGGGGAGGGGCTTTTGGAGGGTCCAAGAGGGTGGAGAAGATGGAGAATAGTTTTTTAGGATTTTTCACACCAACGCGGTTCGGAGCTAGAGCCTGATAAGCACCGTTATTTCTTGTTCACACCGCAGCGGAGCCGGCTCTTTTCCCCGAAAACCAGTTCTTACCAAGCTCTAAAAAATTCGGTCTAGAAGCAAGAACCGCATATGTCACACTTACATCGGAGGCGGGGGCGGGATCAACCTCCTGAACAACAACAAAAAGCCCACGTTTTCTCCAGTTTGTACACAGCGAAAACCCCAAACTTAAACTGTGGACCAGATTTGTAACAAACTGAAAAAAGTGAAGAAGGATTATCGGGACCAAAAGTGAGACCAGCAGACCAGCGGTCGTCCGAAAACAAGTCCACATTATGACTTGCTAGACTCTGTCAAAGAACATTTGAAAGTCGCTTGCGACGAATGGAAAGTTCGTGGTGAAGTCGTCCTGTTATTTCCATTTGGTTTCGACAAAGCAAAACGAGCAGCATTTCAATACAATCGGCCATTGTTGTTGTTGTCGATGTGAGGGGTTTCCGCGCGGTTTGGCTTTATGAAGCAGGCACGGAAATGGCAACGTCATGGCGCAAATTATGACTCAATGACGCAGCACCACTCGGGCTCTGGGCGGTGTGAACAAAATGGGGGCTGACAAGAAAAACCGGTTCCGAACCAGAAGAGCGCAAGCACGGAGCTAGAACGGGAACCGCGTTGGTGAGAAAGGGGCATTGTATAAAAACCTGTCTGAAAATGAGCTGATCAGATTTTGGCCACTTTATGATGTCATAATGGTTTTTTGGGTTGTGTAACCATTAGCCAATAACCAACCAAGGTAACTCCTCGAGCATAAAATATATCTAAAGGAGCATATTGAATAGAATATGGTAATATAAAAAAATTAAAATAAAAGGTTAAGAGCATAAAAGGAGTGGCACCTTATTTTCATCTAAAGTAACAGACAGAGAATCAGCACTTTTGAAACAGGGCTGAAACAGAAGGGTTTATGGGATGCTACAATGCATGATCTGTTTGGTATTTGGAGCCAAACACTTCAGAGACATGTTTTGCATAAAACTGAGAACTACAATATATTGATGAAAAAGAGTATAATAGGAGACCTTTAAGTTCTGTTTCCCGCTCCTTGACAAATGTAGGTGGAAGTTTCACTCTTTTTTTGTTGTAGTAGCCGCCAGGTCCTGAGGAAAACATCAGGCTCCTTAGCTGCTAAATGCTGAACATTACACCTTTGTGCACACGTTATTTATCTCCTTATTTCGGCGAGTAATCAGGTCGTAAAAAAGAACATTTGAGCTGGGTTATTAACTTGAATTGGCCTTTTCACATGGCCCTCTGTTAAACCTCTAATTGTTTTAATTCCTCAGGAAACACTGCCTGCGAACTCAGATTCCCCAATCCTGACTGGTACTGGGAGACGGTGCTGAAGATCTGCGTGTTTATCTTCGCCTTCGTGGTCCCCGTCCTGGTCATCACCATCTGCTACGGTCTGATGATCCTGCGGCTCAAGAGCGTCCGTCTGCTCTCCGGCTCCAAGGAGAAGGACAGGACCATGCGGCGGATCACCCGCATGGTCCTGGTGGTCGTGGCAGCCTTCATCATCTGCTGGACTCCCATCCAGCTCTTCATCATTGTCAAGACCATGGTGAAAACTGACAACACAAACCTATGGGTGATTGCCTGCTGGCACCTGTGCATCGCGCTGGGCTACACCAACAGCAGTCTCAACCCTGTGCTTTACGCCTTCCTGGACGAGAATTTTAAAAGGTGCTTCAGGGATTTCTGCCTGCCCTATCGCTCCCGACTGGAGCAGAGCAGTTTCTCCAGGGCACGCAACAGCACCAAGGAGCCCGTGTCTGTTTGTGCTCCTGCGACGACACAGAGACCGCCGGCCTGACTAGGCATGGATCAGTGCGGGGAGAGATCAGTTCAGGCCGACCTCCAGACTGAGGTCACCACCACAGGAGTCTGAGACCACATACGTGGCCGTTTGAGCGCCATAATGTAAATGATGGATTGTGTTTTTGGTCTCAGATGATGACACTCCTGAGACACGACTCTTAAAGGATTGTGGTTTACAATTATCAAAAATATACCTGGGTGCCTGCGCATAAGGAAATGGTTACAAAATGTATAACCATATACGTTGACCATATATTATGCTTTTTCTTTTTTTTGGTTCTACACTAAGCTTTTAGACTGCAAGTCTTCACATCCATATTAGGTGAACAATGTAGGACACATTTCCAAAATGATCCGATTATCAGGAAGGCATAGAACCTAAACACGCAGACAAGGCCACAGGAGTATTTTTATGGCCAAACAGAGGCTGGTGTATGATTGGCTGAGTTGGTCACGTGACCTCAATCCAACAGATCATTTATTCCCCTGATGAAGGCCAGACTGACTCTGAATTTCCCCGTAACATTAGCAGTGCAACGCTGGAAGACAGTCAACAGGGAATATATTGCTGTCCGCTGTCGCCTTTAGCTAAATATTACCAGTGATGACGATTTATGTTAACTTGTCAAATGAATTTCCATCCCTGAATTTTGGAGTACCATCTATAAGGGACTACACGTCATTTAGTGACACCTTCAAATTAAACTAAATGTAACCTTTTTGTGGCCATAGCTGGGTAGAGGAAATAGCTGTAAACTTTGACAAATGTCTATTTACACATCCAGCAGTTACAGAGCCACATTATGATTCAGTTTAAGTTCCGCTTCACGCAACTTTACAAATGTAAGTGGAAGTTTCACTCTCTTTTTAGCTGTTGTAGCCGCCAACTCCAGAGGAAAACATCAGGCTCTGCCAACTGCCTCCCTGAGTTCACCAGCTCACTGCGTCAGCTGTAAAGTGTTGTGTACAGTACAGGTTTTATGCTGAAAAAACACTATGGCAGCAGTGAGACTGAAAGGAAACTAAAAAACAAAACAAGAAGCTGAAAGACTCTACAGCGCAATGGAAGCCTAGAGTCGAAGAAGTATTTCCTAATAGTGCTTTTACATCACTTTAAAAGTTAAATTAAAACTAAGTGAGGCCAACGGACTACAGAACCAATGCAAGGATAAAAGTGTCACGATGCTAAACTGTCTCACTGTACTGTATATTTACACTGGTAATACTATTGATACTCAACCTCGTTGGGAAGGTAATAAGAATTCAAAAATATGAACGCTTAGCTTAGAGACAACATTTTCTTTGTCTTCTTAATATTTAAATGAAGCGATGCATCCAACTTCATGCTTCTTGCTGTGATATTCAGAGTAGAGATAATTACAGAGGAAGGCCACATTATTAATTAAAGACTACAGAGCAACAATGTTATACCATGAAAACACAGCCTTGATGATTGAGCAGAGATGACTGACGCTTCAAGCCTACGTTCAGCGGACTCATTGTTTCCACTCCTCTGGCAGTCAAGCTGCTTTGGTTTATTTTGTACAACAAAAAACAATCATCTGACAGTCAGCTGAGGAGCTGAAGAGGAACGCGTGTCACGCTCACAGGTACAGATTAGAACCCAATAGCACGACACAGATACAACCAGTGTTCAGAATGTTCCGTTTATTCGGGTCAGGGACAGGCGGGGTCAAAACCAGGAAATCCAGCAGTCAGGCAAACAAATCCAATCGGGGGCAGGCAGGAAACTCAAGGTCCGATAACAGGCAGGCAGGGTCAAAACCGGGCAGGACAGATAACTAGGCAAAATATATTGAAACGCTGGAGAGCTTGGCAAAATACACAAGACAATCTGGCAGAGGACAAGTGAGAGTGAGGTGGTATATATACTGTGGAGTTAATGAGGGAATGAGTAGCAGGTTAGGAGAAGGGCTGGGGACACCAGGTGAGGGGAGTGAGCTGATTGCAAGAGCCTGGAGGAAGGCAGGATCTGAAATGACAGGAGAGTTAAGATGTGCCAAACCTAAAAACAACTATAAATGTGTTGAACTTGTGACAACGTGGACCAAAACGGACCAAACACATTAGCAAGGAACAAGAAGCTTGCTACACATATGACAGTTAATGGCATACGGAGGATCTTTGGACACTTGCAGGAGGATATTGTGGTGTTGAGAATACTTTTTTTGCACATTTTGAAAGAACAGTCGCACCAATGCCTCTCATCCTGCCATGCAGTTTGTAAAAAAGGCAACTGCATATCAAGTGTAAAGATAAGATCATAATGTGAGTTTTTGTATCATTGTGCTGTCAAGCTATTCACTTGTAACTAATATGTAAAATGTTGATGTATTTACACTAAGTGCTATACATTTAAGCAGCATTGGAAATGTTCAAACAATATATTTTGTTGAATATATCTCTGTCGCTGAAGGAAGAGCATTGTCAATGTTTTCTGCAGCGTGATCAACGATATGTTTGGCTGATTTAAAATATGTACCGTAATTCCTTATTACGCATTATGTTCTTTTTGTAAAAAGTGAACTGTTTTGATGAGAAATATTAGAATGTTTGAGGATAATGAGAATATTTGATATTTAAATGTTTTCACACTGTGTTTCAGCAGATACAGTTTATAAAGTACCGTATTGTATAAGTGTAATGGAATAGCTTGAGTTGTATCCTGAGACTGCTTCTCTGTTGATTTGTTGTTGTAAATACCTTTCAGTTTTAATCCAATTTTTGTTTTCTGTGGTTGTTATTACAGGTGTTATTTACATTTATACTCTGTGTAAATGCCAGTGAGGCCTCGTGGGAGTTACACATGTGAGTTGTTGGTACAATCTGGAAGGGATTAGAGATCAGGATGATACAGATGTGGCACAGGAACAAATGTGACACATTATAACTGTGTAAAGGAAAGCAAACTATGAAATAAAACAGGGATTTCTGGAGTTTCTGAATTGTAGAATTAATTATGTTTACAATGTAACAATTAAAAGATGTTGATATATTTTGTTATTGTCCACAAATTATTTGAAAGACCCACAACATCAATTCATCTGTCTCTAAATCCCTTTTTAGCTTCCACAATTTAATACTTTTACTATTTGCAGCAGCAGGTTTAATGATCTAGCTAGTAATGACATCAGCAGGACAGGGCATGTGGAATATAAACTTCAGTGCCAATGTTATCATAATGTAGAAACATGCCACCCTACAGTGTGGCTCATTTTTGGAAAGCAATGGAGCTCTATAGAAATAAGATATATCGGCCTTTCGTAAGATCAATTCACTTTTGTTTCCGACAAGTCAAATACAAAGAATTTCAACAACATTAACCTTTTCACTTTTTTAAAAAGCCCTCAATGTCACACATTCACATATTCACCTTATAACCTTCAGCACAGTTTTTGTAAATTCATAAAAATGTGGAAATAAAATACACACATTTCCCCATAAAAATCTATTATTCTAATTGAATGTGGAATGTTTCCTGTTGAAGGCAAGGGTCAAACTAAAGTGCTAAACTTACTTTGGCAATACCTTCTGAGCGGTACTTGGGAGGCAGTTAACACTGAAATGACACATGCCAGTGAGGCCTACGAGGATGTGTTAAAAAAACAAAACATTATTGTGCTTTTTTCCCATTATGGTGTCTGGTTCACACGTTCCACTGGCCTTTCATTTATTTTTTACACACATTAATTGGCTGAAATGACTGCTGAAAGAAGTTTCAGAGAAAAGAAAACTTGATAAGAAGGCATTAATCATGCTCATTTCTCTTTCAGACTCCTGTGGATGTTGACAGACTTCACTCAGATGTTATAAGAAGCTCCTCTAAGAGACATCATAGCACTCCCGGCAGGAGACTCAACATTTATGCAGCGGAGAGAACTCAAGTGTACCTCTGATCTTTGCTTTGACGCCGACATTTTTGACTGTTTTACCTGTCTTTTGTTTTTCTCTGAGGGCTTCAATTTGCATGATGCAAAAGGCTTTTTTTAAATCATGTGCTTTAAAACATGTACAGTTCGCAGAGATACTGTAGTCTAGTTTGAGAGCGACACATAAATGCTCTCATCCACTGACCCTGACTTGTTGTTGCTCGTGCACTCGAGCAAATGAACAAATGGAAATGAGAACAAAGGGAATTTCACTGAAGCTTTCATAACAGCTCTCAGTGATGCAATGCAGCATCATAAACTCAAAGCTTCCAGCAGTTTGTTTTCTGCTTTCTGGATGATTGGATATTATGTGACTTCCACTGCTTATTTGTCTGTGCAGAAGACGTTCTGATGAGATCTGCTGTAAATGAGAGAGAGGGATCGGATTTGTTTCTTGGCCTGATGGAACATATCCTCTTGAATAAAATGGTGGTCTAAGCTAAATGATGACACAAAATAATTCAATCTTTGGCGTCCCAAACAACAGACACCTACATCATGTAACCAAGGCTTTCCACACATCACAACATCCTGGCTGTCGGTGCACAAACTGTTGTTGCTGAGTCAAATAACCCAAAACTCAAAGGCACCCAAAAGGAATAAAATACAGAGATGAAGGTAATGCAGATATTCTGGTACTGGGTTTGTCAATTGAGCCCTGCTGCTGTGTGTGACAGACGGTTGCTGTAACACAGATAATCAGACATCCTGGTTTTCCTGAGGTGTTTACGAAAAGCCAGAAGTACAAAAAGCTTGAAGCAGTTTGACTGGAGGTTATAAAAGGCAGCAACTCTGGTATTCCCTTCTGAGGAGCAGGGACAGGAATTCAAACTGGGTGCCATCTGCCAGCTGAGTCATGGGGACTGTGTGACATGTTGTGTTTTCTTTAACCCTTGACTTACACTTTAATTGGTTTAACCAGTTGGTGAATCGCAATGTAAATCTTAATATTAATTGATTAATATTGATGAAACATGTGCACAACAATGTACACATTAAAATAACTCAACTGATTTTACACATCAAGCCTGTTAACAGGTCCTGGGAAGAATGTGTACAAATAAACCGAAACAAAGACTAGACTAGACACAGTAAGGTTATTATTGGCTAAGAATAGCAAAATGTGCTCTCTTGCAGTCGGGACGGCAGCAAACAGGAGAGTCAGGTGCCTTATAATTGGGACCCAGGTTTTCTCCGTTTTTATTAAAACCATGTGTTGCTACGAAACTTTCAGTGTGTATCCATGGGACCAGCTCCCTAAACCATCTGGAGAAACAAGGAGTGCTGGTAGCCTTGAGAAAGGTCCTCTTTACTGACATACCAAACATAAAGGGTCGCTATGTGTGGCAGTGCAGCCACACAACTAAACAGTGCTTTAAGTGCATCAGGGTCAATGTGTTAATCACACATACAATACCAATTAAAAATGCCATGCCAAAAAGAGATAAAAACCAGAAGTAAGACACCTTTGGCGAAGTCGTATCTGTCACAAATATCAGATAAATTATAATCTTATTTCGTCTTATTTTAAAAGGACCATATTTGTATTATATAATCATTCATATTCACCCAGGTTAACTGAAATTGTCGATGTCATGCCTGATGTTGTCGTATAATACCGCTAATATCTCAAAATGTCCTCACAGGATGGATGGAATTTTTTTTAATAGTCCACCGGGAGACAACAGAACTGCAATGTTCAAGGAGTGGGATACTCGTTCAATTCCCCTTGTCTGCTACGGTTTTAGGTCAGAGGCAGTTGTATCCTGCTAGGATTGTAAAGCCCTCTGAGGCTAAGTGTAATTTGTGATATTGGGCTGTCTAAATAAAATGTGATTGATTGAAGAAACCCTGATGCACCATTATGTACCACCGGTAAAACTGTCTTTCTGATGCGACCAAGCTGATATAGTATGTACACTTAGGCTTTAAGAGTAAAAAACTAAAAGCTAAATTAAAATGACAGACCCCCCTTGGCTAACACAATTATTTCACAGGACCCAACCCTCTGTTCCAGCTCCCTCCCTCAAGAGAAACATTATTCTGTTTTTAGCTCAGCTGCCAACCATAAACAAATTTATATAATTCTCTCCATCCTCATTCTTAGCGTGGACATCTGTAGGTAATTAGCACAGAATCAATATGGCACGAAAGAAGACAATTACGAGAAAAGTCCATTAAAGGAATGAGTCACACGCAGAGGGGATAGTCATTGATACATGTTGTCAACTTGTCAATGTTACTGTTATTAAACCATGCATCAGATCAAGAGATTGGCCCTCCTTACGAGCCCCTGCACATCTGTTAGTCCTCGAGTCTCACGAAAAGCCCTTATCCTGCTGGATGAGGAGTCCAATTTTTCAAGGCAATCTACAGTAATTACAAATGTGGGCTGCAGGCGATGGAGTCCCACAGCTTAGAAGCAAGAGAGGTATCATTCGCTGATAACACTGTTTGGCTTCAGATGCACACACTCACCACAATGCATGTTTTCTGGTTGTTTTCCGAACGACATCAAAACAACATTCCACTTCAAACATATAGTCAGAGGTGGGAAGTAACTTAGTGAATTACTGTACTGTACCCCACTACAATTCAGAGGTAAATCGTGTACATTTAATCCACTACATTTATCTAATATCTTTAGTTACTTTGCAGATTTGGATTAACGATGTGAAATATAATCAACCGTTAAATCAGACTTTAGTTACACCTGCAGTAAATTTACAAGCTACCCTGCAGTATATAAAGTCATTAAAACTAGCTGCACCTTTACCAGCTTTGATAAACACTTTAATGCATCAATAATTATAATCAAAATATATAATATATATTTGTCTTGAATGGACCAATCTGCATAATGAGTACTTTAAGTATATTTTGATGCTAATAATGTTGTACTTTTACTTGTTACGGAGTATTCCTACCTGTGATGGAAACTTCTGAAGCAATGGAGACGAAACTCAGAGAGACACGAGGAGAGTAGGAGCTTTGATGGCAAACACTGATGGTTTATTTGGAGCTTCGGCCGGAGAATTCACAAGACATGTGCTGCCGCCACGAGGTGTCACAGCGGTTGCCAAACCAATTCTAAAGATCCTTTCTGCAGTTCAAGGTTTATAGTTCAGATTGTAATAATCAACATTCCTCATCAGCAAGACTAAACAAATATGGACCCAGAATCTAACTAGAGCTGTCATCCATAGAAAATAATGTGTGCCAGGGAACCTACGTTCCAGAAAAGAAGGGCCTCTAGATGTCACTGAACATAAACTATCTCATGGCAACTTGTGGTCGGTCATAAACTGGCAACAACAATGCGCCCAAGCTGCCCCTCCTTAAAGGTCACCTATTATGCAAAATCCACTTTTTCCTGTCTTTTATACAGACACATGTGTCTCCTCTGTGTAAAGAGATTCTGAAAGCTTCAGGAAAGAAGATTCTCTCTATTTTTGTCCTGATCAATCTATATAAAACGTTTGAAACAGGGCTGAAACAGAGGGGATTATGGCATGCTACAATGATCTGTTTGGTATTTCGAGCCAAACGCTTCAGAGACATGTTTTGTATATATCTGGGACCTATAATATATTGATGAGAAACAGTATAATAGGGGACCTTTAAGAGAGATAGCAGCAATACCCAAGGCCGTAGACCTATGCCATGGGAAAAGAGATAGTGAAAGGAGAAAACGATGAACTGTGTCAAATTATTCCCCAACACTACCCTCTGGTACTTCTACTTTTACTTAAGTATAAGATCTGAGTACTTCTCCCACCTCTGCATGTAGTAAGTCGTACATGTAGCAGTTTACACATCACTTAATGCTTCAGTATGGGGAATTTGTTTTGTGATTTCTTTCTACCAAATGTATTCAGACCAAGTCAAAGAAAGAGTGACAGTATTGAAGTGAATAATGTGCTTGGTTGAAGATAAGGTTTGAAAAATAGTTCCTTATATTCCCTTGAGGCTCAGAGCAGCATTTATCAGATGTATCAGCATCCATTTTTGAGCTGAAAAATGCAAGCTATTAAACACTGGGAGATGTCTTTGAAGTGTTTTATAATCT